GATTTCTAGTCATGTCACTTTTGACCAAAAAATGCACTGAGCTACCTTCCATTGATATGCACATGGAGGAGATCCGCGTCTTCCTACGAGATGTGGACATGTAAGATCTAGGTGGTCGAGTTGTCCACTTCACTTGGCAGTTTTGTTAAACACGTTTCCTAACCACTCGAGGTGGTATTATCAGTGCATTGTTGCGGAGCATAGGGGAATTTCACGTTGAATAATGGTGTGCGTGAGTTCAAACACATTCCCCTGAAGCGTGTGACAGTGATTTGTTGCCACCTGGAAGTAATCTTAGTTACAGAATTCCTCATCCGTATTCTCCTTAACTGACATCTAGGTGACGTTTGAACTTGACCTCTCTGAATCCCACCTTATGACTTTTGCCGGACTGGTCCCACCACAGACCCTCTCGTCTGACCCATTTGTATGTTGCTCGCCCGTGATTGTGCTATTTGATTCACTTCGTGACCATAGGTCAATGCGTTGAATGACTGGGCTCGTCCTGGAGCCCCACGCGTCAGAATCTGTCCACTTTCCTTCTATAATAATATAATGATCTTCCGACCCTTGTCGACTAAGACTGATCTTCTTGTATTCAATGTTCTGTATGGGTAATTGCGTTCCGAGCTTGTCGGTCTAATGTTTTTGCATCCAATGGCATTTATTTGGCATGATCACGTGATCCCAAGGTGGAACATTTCATGTCTTTTGGTACTGTCGGAATGCATGCAACCTCGGAAGGCAAGTAAATCGAATTTGGTGGATGGTTTATTTATGCAACTTATTGATTTACACGTCCAGCCTACGCTTTAAGAACCTGCAAATTGTACCTGCATTAGGTAGCAGTTACAGTCATAGCGCTGCAACTTGAGCTGAGTCCATCCATTACAGCATGTTACAGTAGAAAAAACCGCAATCGCCAGTTTAGAAAGGAAGCGTTAGTTTCAGGCACATCGAACTATCTCAAAAAGAGCAACAAAGCCGAAAATATCCAAAGCGTAAAGTGGAACTCGAACCGGTTTGAAGGTTCTGTCGCAGCAAGACGCAGTCCGACCTTGCAGCTCGATAGATGTGGAATACAGTGGGCAAAAGGAAAAGGATACATTCCCCCATGCAAACATATATATATAGGCTTTGATTTTTTTAAAGAAAGCCGCTAAAAATTCTTAGCGGATTACAGTAAATTTTAGGAAGTTGTATTTCGTGTATCAGGAATGGCAAAGCAAACACCGTTATGAATTTCGTGGCCGATTGAGGCTCATCATTCGTCGTTGAAAAAAAAGTTCCTCCGAAAAGTTTCACTTGACTACCTGGTCCAAGCCCAATCACCAGTTTTCTTGACTTGATAATTCAAAAGCCTGTGGGCATCGGAATCTGTCACTGGTTTGTGCCTCTCTCTCTGATCACGGTGCGCAAAAATACTCTGCAGGCCAAGTTGTGGTGGCCACGGCTAGTTGCCAGTACATTCTCATGTTAGCTCGCCCAACAGACTCGAACCTTATCACCAAACGTTATGCACCAATTTCTGATTAGGGTGAATCACAAAAACTTATGACACATGGCTGAAATCGGTCAGTTTATCATGCAGTTGCGATGTGACTAGGCAAGCATAATCAATAAAATAGAGAGAAAAATTATCTGAGGTTTTTCCTGATGTTCCCTGCTAATCTGCTAGTTAGTAAAAACAGTCTTTGAAAACTTGCTTAGTGCACTCAGAAATGCCTCTTCGTAATTTTTATGAAGGCTCCCTGCGGCGAGGAGCCTTGAATGCCCGTTGTGCATACTCTCAATGGCGTTACACTTGGTAGTAAGCGTAAAGGGTTAAATGTCTTTTCACTTATTATTTCGAATGAGCACATTATAGAAAACTCAATGGCGTTACACTTGGTAGTAAGCGTAAAGGGTTAAATGTCTTTTCACTTATTATTTCGAATGAGCACATTTATAGAAAACAAAACAGCTGGTTTGTTTTTTACCATATAGGCTGGAAACAACTTACGCCTAAAAACACATCCATGGTATGGCAGCGATACATTTTTCAGATGAAATCAGATGCGCGGCGCAGCGGAAAATGGACAACTGAAATATTTTCTACCCCAAAATGAACTTCCATGGTGGAGTTTTCGCGTACGTACTGTGCGAATCATCAGCCGAAAGTTAAAGCAGAAAAGCAACAACCCTCAGCTAGCAAGAAATTGACTTTGAGTTGCTGTGTGTACATGTGAGCAGTGTGTGCCATTCAACCTATGGGTGCTCATGCATGCCGCAAAGTGCACACACACAAATCATTTGTAAGGTCCTGCTCGATCGATACCACTCAGCGAATGAGGTGATCTTGTGCGTGCAGACCCACCGCCCTGCTGGCGCTTCAGTATGCGAGTGGAAAGCTCGCATACCCCCACTGTTACAAAACCGGTACCATGAGGAAGGAACAGCTTTGCAAATGGGTAGAAATCAAATGAATGAGTGAACGAACAAAAACTGACGTTCGTTTTTTAAGTGACTGAATCAAGAGAGTAGCGGTTGTACCTATAGCTATGTCAGTTATACCCAAAGCGAATTAGGACTGGGATAGCGCCGAAATTATTCCATGCATCTACAGAAAGTTTCGTGGCCTTTTATCCATGCTCTCGCACTAAATGTATGCTCAGCCACGGTTTGTGGAAAATATCCCCCACTCCAAACCCCAATTCGGTCATATTCGACAACATTTGTTCTTATTCAGATGGCTTAGCGAGAGATAGACCGATACTTGACATAAATGCAGAAAATATATCGGGCCATCCTGATAACAGTAGAAATTATGTTTTGTCCTTCCTTTGACGCTTACAAAGGACCATTTCAATAGCAGCTTCATCCTCACATTACGAATCACCTACGATTAAAGAAGTTAAGTTGTAAAATCGCTAGTAACATTCAGTTGGTATTTTTGGCTCAAGAGAATAACATGTGTAGTTAGAAATAGAAAAAATACTGGGCAGTTGGAGAATATCCAGTCGATAAGATAGGATTCAATCGCATCCATGCCGTGTAAAATGTGTCTTACAATCACTTGACTCTGAATCCCATTCTAGTTCAAAGAGAGAAGCAACTACTTGTGTGCAACCCTCTTGGGATTAGCACCGCAGATTGTCTGGATACCAGCTACGATCTCATAGCATCCGTTAAAAAACTGGGCATCAATCATGTTTTATCAAAAGACGCAAGGGCGGCGTGTGCCTTTTGATAATTACAATGATGTTTTGCGGCAAGACATCAGTTGCTGCGTGACCAGATGTTCTGAAAAGGGGAAATCTATAAGGATGTGACACCTGTGTGGTGCAGATTTGGGACACAGGAGGATCCGCCGGATCATTCGTGGACCCAAGTTGTAGATGTCGTGACCACTCACACTGTCCCTAGCTTAGACACAGTCGACAGTGTGTCAAGGCTATCAATTTTGCTTTGTTTGATGTTTGTTTAAAATGTCTTGCCGCAAAACTCCGCAGGTGCGCATGACTTCAGCCCATGATCAAGTTAGGTGCGATGAAATTTTTTTCCATAATTTCACTTTGTGTTCTACTGATTTGACCAGCCATCTTGGTGCATGTTCAGACGCCTTGGAGTACGACCAGTGTACGTGAATCCACAGATGAATTTGAGACCATAGATACAGTTCGGGCAGAGGATTCTTTCTTCGTACGCTGGACGAAACAAGCTGTATCGATTCGGTGGTTACGCAGATCAGGGATGTGTATTGACATGCTCTGGGAGATTCTTCAAGATAGGAACGGAGTTGTTTAACTCAGTCAATTTGTTAAAAGTGCATAGACAAATGATTTGATTGGCACGGAAGAGTAGTGGGCGTGACGCACTTTATAATTTTCTTATAATTATATAATTATGTATATATAATATAATATACTTCCTTCTTCCTACCTATGGAAGGAAAAATGAAAGAGGCCATCACCAAATTTCTCGACGCATTGAGGATCTGTCATAATTCTTTTCTCGTACAACCACACCATGTTTCTCTTCCACGCGGGTGAACTCGTAAATAACCAAAGGTGCTCCCCGGAGATTCTGGTTACCCCGAAAGCCCTTTCCTCTTTTACAACGTCAAACCAAATCTTGTGGACCACCCAGACCGCACTATATATCGCTGCTAAGCATCATTTTTTCTTCGCGATTTCACAAGATGCGAAATCAGAAATGTTGAGTCAACTGTGATTTAGGTGTCCATCAGTGTCCCAGTGATGGTAATTTCCCATGTTCGTGTACTTTGCGTAGGTGGTATCACACCCAGACAGATGGACTACGGAATTATCTACAAATTTTTTTATCTAGCGAAGCACCCGTCACTTGTTCCCTTATCTCTTCACCCATAGTGTGGAGATCTCGCGCACCGTTCCTCAGCTTATCTGAATGGGCCGTTCTGTTTTCCATATTGTGACCACAACTCATTATGTAATATTCACCACGATCAATACTATACGGTTGTGAGTCTCGTTTCACTTATTGTATGCTCACACACATATACGAAAGTACTGGTACTCTGGAGTTCTATTCAAGGATCTTGTTTTATTCATCCATCATATAGACTGAATGTCAGCTCCTGAGATGGGTACTATTGAGGGCGCATCCAATGTGCACCTAATGCGGACATCGGGAACACCCGGCGTCACAGTGAAGTCCTACTACGTGAACTGAATGTAGAGGGTCGTTGGGTTCGCTGCCGACACCGATGCAACGCCGGAAACCACAATGTATTGAACTCAGCTGATTTGCTGCTCCATGGCAAAACTAGGAAGAATTATGTGAAAAATTTCGTTAACGATTGTGAACTACGCTATGAAACGATACAGTATGCGTTTTTTCCAGCAGTGAGACAAGGTTTCCTTCAATTTCAAAACCTACATACAAAAACAGGATACATGGTTAGACCGTTATAAGCCAGAAACCCTAAAGTTTGAACAGCCCTATCAAAATCCGAATGATAATTAAACACTGCCACTAACCGGGATACATCAGAACTCATCTTCTTGTTGTCGTGCAGCGACAGTGACGTGAAGAAGACTTCATAAAAGCACTCACTGCAGCAATGCACTTGTGGATTTTCTTGCCATTTAAGTAGGTGCGCTTCGTAAGGTCTTATATCCAACACCGCACAGTCTGAAGAGAAAAGCGAACGAAGCAGAGGTGCCATCTATTCTAACCTGAGTTGCACTCTGTTGTTCCATATGACTTACTTGGTGGTATTATAAGGCTCAAATCAAGTCAAATCGTGTCAAGCTAAGTCTGTCTACCTCATGTGAAGTGAGACCTTATTTAACACCCACCGGTGAATATCCGATGGTCTGGCAGCTACTGACTGCTCGTTAAAATGTGTATTCCAAATAACAAAACAAGCTTCCATACAACCGACGATGGTCAGAGATGGTCGAGAAGGTAGACTGAGGTGAATCAGTACTAATTTACCAACCGGGAGGTCTGTGGTTCAAACCAAACCCCAGAATCTTGATTGCTCCTGTCCATGTCTGGGCACCCTGGCAGTATCTTAGCGCTCGTGTTTCCTACTGAACAATTATTATCGTTATTATTACCATCATCACTTAGTGCTGCTGTCATTGGTTCCACTGATAATCCGATTGGAGCTCGGCTATTTCTTAGCTAAAGAGCTGTCAAGACGGAAGTGTGGATTTTATCGCACAAAGGCTGTTTTGAACGCCACTTGAGTTACAAGACGCAAGCGGGTACAAAAGGAGGAACTACTGCTTACACCATCTAGGAAACCCTACGGACGAGATGAGTACAAGTCACACTTGTAGTTATTTATCACGAGGTGTGGGTACTAAAACCGGTCACATTTTAGAGAAAGGAACAGGATGCTTTTAGAAACGCACAAAACTTCGCGGTTAAGACGGAAGATCTGCCTGTCTCAAGCGCATGGAACTATTCTGCCTAGATATTGATGCACAGTTTTCAGTAGTTCATCATATTTTGGGAAACTCTTTCAGCCTACAGAGTAGATCGGAGGAGCAAATAATTAAACGGATTAAAGATGGTTTATATACGTCTCATGATGCACTCTTTTTTTCTAGAGAACAAAGGAAAACTGCGTTCGGTCAACTGAGATCTAGAGAGGCCCAATGTGTTTAGTGAATTTGATCGTAAATCGCCGTTACCGGATCAACATGAATAATTTGGCGAATTCTTTATGAGTTATCTTTTAGAGAGGACATTGAAGAAAGACTCTGACAGAAGGTAAATTACTGAGTAGATTAAGTGCTACACTCCGAAGGATTCGGTGCATGGATCCATGAAAGTGGGTGAAACTATTTTAGAATAATGAACTAATAATAGGTTCGTTTGAACTATTCCTGCTAATGCATATATATATATATATATACTTTATTGTATAACAAAGTATATTGTAATTTTCCATTCCAATTCGTTCAAAACATCTGCCAACCACATGAGTAGATCAACAGTTTTTGTAACCTGGCGCCAATTTGCCAGGAATCTTCATGAGCGTCCAGAATTCCCGATTTGTGCCCGTGGATGTTAGTCGTAACTCGGGTTGTGGACTGTACGTAATTTTTTTTACGTAAAAGCGCGAGCAATGGACCAACGTCTTAATCGTACTAATAAAATATGACCGACAACTCAAGAACCAGAAACATGATGCAGTTTGACGCGATTTCATTACCGGTCAAAACAGTGAACCCACTAAGTTCAAGGTTAAGGTCACTCAACAACAGAAGAACCAATCAGACTACGAACTAACGCGAACGAAATCGCTGATCAAACGCGGAGTTTAATTGTGATCAGCAGACAACCACCGCTTAACATCAATGTGTCACAATGTTCTGTTGATATCATGGCACAAAATGAAATGAGAAAAATATTATTTTTCCCAGCATTTCAACATACGGTTTTGGTTTTTGTGACCAGCGCATGTTGTTTTCAGCCGTATAATGGATTGCTAGACCGGGATGATTGTTTTTATAAAGCCTATCCGTTATTCAGTTTAGGAAATACGTGGTCTCATACACATTTGGTTAGACGAAATTCTGGAAACCAGGGGAGTCGTTGTAAAACCTCAAATTTAAAACGCTTCAGGCATCCCCGCAGACTGTTTTTCCAGTGTTTTCCGAGTTCCTACTGATATCGGACAACAGAGGTTCAAATTACAGCGATAACCACTGGCAGTGTTATTGATCGGTGGAATGCGAAAACCGGTATTTTGACATACTCGAGTACTTTGCCAGATAAATATATATTCGTGATGGAGATTTTTTTCTGTCAGTGTAGCCAGCCTATGCAGAAAAGCCTAGAAGCAGTGTATATATGTTTATTGCTTACTCGAAATTGTTAGCAGTGCGCATCTTATGATAATCCACTAGGAGGCTTCGAACCCTCCGGCGGGTGCTCGAACGCTGAAAGATTCGACCTCGACCGGCTGGATAAGAGTGTGATCAGCTCTCACTTAGACAGACACGACAGAGCGTCACCATTTGTCAGTGAGACAAACTAATCACGTGGTCACCTACTGACTGGCTTGGCTTCTGAAGTGACGACTACTGACATGAAAGTTTCACTCAACTTGCGAAATTTGTCTTCCTCTGAGCCACTTATAGATTGATTGTAATGTGAAGGGATTTTTCAGTTGACTTGTCCAGGGGAGGAGCAATTCATTTTAAATAGCCGAGCAACACTGTACAGCTTTGTTGGGAATCATTAGCAGCACGCATCTCATTTCAGAGGGTTTCGAACCATTAGCTTACCGAATGATCAGTTTCACGAGAAGAGTGGCACTTCCTTCTGGCTACTTAAAGCTTGAATATTATATACTCGAAAAAACAGTTAACATTGGGGAAGGGGGTTAAAAACGTCATCCTAGGTGGTTCTTCTGGTCATTTTGAGCCGACACAAAAATGATATAACCACGTTATGCCAGAACGCAGTTTCTTTGAATCGATTCATTAGCCTTGTGTCAGAAGATAAGGGCGTTGTATTCTGATGAGTCGAGGATAATGTAGTTGCATGTTGCCACAAATTTATCCACATAAGTTATTTTCATTGTATTTATATTCTTATTTAGTTTGATGTAATGCTTACTCTTGTACTTCGATTGCTAAGACTCACAATACTTGCTTTTCTCCTTAGGTTATGATGAAACTGAAAGAGTAAGAATCTTATGGCTGTGGAGTTAGTTGCGGTGTCTTTTCCCACAACACCAACCACTATCGACGATCCTTCGGTGGTACGACGATTCAAGCAGTCGTGGGTTTGTACGGGTCATTTCAGCGTGTGGGCACAAGCGATGAAACTGATACTTGTGTTACCTTCACAACTTAATGTATACTCGGGTCTAGAAGTCGTTGGTTTGTTCGCTGAGCTAGACAGCATGACTGCAACTGCATCACCGCTAATCGAACTGACATCACTATTGTGCTAATTGGCAGCGTAGCATACCGGTGCGCCAAATACTAAAGCATTGCTATGCTACAGCACCCCAGCAATCCACTGATGAAGTCACCTCGACTGGCAAAGAAAGGCTTGCAACTAAACTTCCAAGTTCACCGAACAAACCAACGATCATGCACATCAGCATTCTACTCAATAATACTCGGATCCAGCTGGCGTATGACTGAAAAATGCCAGGTTTGGAACAAGTCTTTACTCTGTTTCGATCACAATGTGCAATTGTGGTTCGCGATCAAATGACATAAGACATGGATAATTTCTGACCATCGATTTTCTGGGACTAAGTTTAGTCTATTGTTGTCGCATTTCACACAAGAATTTGGGTCGCACCTTTTCACCACTGTGGCGTTAATTTCATCTGACTCTGAGCAAACCTGATGTTCACAGACGGTGAATACTCGACCAATACACTTATCTGCATACCAGTTTGGTTTTGACGGGCGATGCACCCAGAACCCAGCTGAATGTCTCGTTATTGATATCCTTCAACTGAAAGATATCGTAAACGGGAGATTCAGGTTAGTCTTCCGTGAAAGTCAGTCGGTATGCAGATGGGTGTATTGATCAAATTTCGTGCACTTTTGATTCAAGGAGAACATAAGTTTGACGGAAAATCGGCGTTGCGCCTATCTGACGAACCTCAAGAAGGGTAAACCGGTCGCAGTCTGTCGAAGAGTTTTCAGCAACCTTATGAGTAGTGTGAATATAATTAATCATTCAACGTGATCTATGCGGCCACTAACAAACAGACAAACAACAATTATCTGCAAGTAGTAAAAATGACCATATTTGTGTTCTCGATTTGCTTTATCACAAAAGGATTTTTTTTGCGATTTTGAAATTACATCCTGGCTGCAGTGGTGTCTGGGTCCCAAGTGGTGTACCCCTCAATATATTCCGTAGGAAGACAACGTGTGTTGTGTACATGTCGTGGGTTAAGATCGGAACATATGGATCAAGTTGCGCGTAGCCATTGACAGCAGATTCAAGCATCATTAGGACAAAGCTGTGCACTGAAGTTTACAGGTTTGTAGAGAGGATACGCAGACCGAGATAAGTGCAATGAAATTTTTCGATCTCGTCAAACTGGCTCGAAGCATTATCTTTCAAGACACTTAGAATCATGACAGTTGTTTGATGGTTTTCATTTCGTGTGCGTTTCTAACAGCTGCCGAATAGCGTTGGGCCGCTTTAAATCTACGTAAAAATTCATGCAACAGCTGCATGTTAATATCCTTTGTGAAGATACCATGCAACTTGGAACCAAGGGTAAAGGCCTTTTATGATAGCAAAGCACAGGTAGCCGATAAGCCTAAAAATCTGATAAACCATCTTATAAACAAGCATCGAACAGACACAGTTACAGGTTATCCGATCAACGATATCTGCTCATTTTATTCGGCACCGCAATAACCAGCGACCTTGAGCAAGCACAAATCGACTGGAGCTAATTAGTAAAATTGGCTTGAATACCCGATGGAACATGTGCAAAGCAGTGATCACGAGTAAAAACGCAAAACTTTGCGTTGATCGACTGATCGATCAGGACATAAAACGGCCGCCGTGGCCATTTCGAAGGAGAACAGAAAGCATAAGCAGATCATTACGGCATTCAATCGACTAGAATATTTTCCAGAAAGGTTTTGCATTTGGTGGGACAAAAACAGAGTATTCACCTAA